TCAGCGAGCCCGCAGCCCTTCTCCGCGGCCCGGCTGGCCGGGCCTTCCCCGCGCTGCGCCCCTTCCTGCCCCCTCTCTGGGCACCGCCCTGGCCTGCACCCGGCCTACGGGGCAGCCGTCTCGGCCCCCGTGTCAGGCTGCTCCCCTCCATCCCCCCCTCTGGCCCGGGTATGCTGCCAGGAGCTTGGGAGTTTGATTTCCTCAGTCCCTGTGGTATTCCCAGAATGGTTTTTATCACGCTCTTTAATTCTAGTGTTCCTGCTCACCCCCATGGAGTGGTTTGTGTCAGCAGTCCAGTGCTCTGAGCTGGGGGGTGAATTCTGCCACGTCCCCCCACTTCTCGAGGCGGGCGGTCAGGGTGTACCGGGCCAAGCTCGTTGCCTGTATTTTTCCTGCTGTGGGGCTGAGGTTGACAGGAGAGGTGTGGAGACCTGTTTGGCTCAGTCCTCACTGAGTGCCCAGGAGAGCGGCTAACCAGAGGGCCTGGGAGTGCTTCTGAGGTCTGATAACCTCTAGGCGTTCTTTTGTGAGAAAAATCAGCCTTCTAGCAGTTTAAGAGGTGTTTGTATTTTAGGCAAAATCATATTTACCATAACAGTGATTTTTATGTCTCTTGCCCTTGCTTTTTAATGAGACTGAAATTTACTACAGACACTGTTGCTTTCTTCCAGGCAGCTTCCCAGGAAGCAGCAAGAGCCAGTCCATATGGCTGCGATACCAAAGATAGCGCTTGTTTTAGCTCTATTTGGTTATTTACGCCTGGTTTTAAAGGCCTCGAGTTCCTTCTCTTCTACACCAGGGTAGAAATGAAAGCGATTAATTAATCCTGTAGGCTCATCCTCGCTCTGCTCAAGCACGTCATTGTACTGGATTAAACAAATTCCTTGCTGCATTTGCCTTTCTAATGTGCTGGGGTGCTCAGTTCACAGGTTAATTACCTACATCTTTGTCTACGAAGACCTAATATCCTTGACCTGCGGTGCCATTATCATCTGGTATTTTGCCAGCAGCTTTGAGAAGAACGTTGGCACTGTGAAGCACTGCTTCCTCACCCTCTCATTCGCCGTCCTCTCCGCCCTCTTGTACCTCTTACTCGAGCCTGTTGTCTTGAGGGTGTCGGAGGTGGAAGAGGCCAAAGGATTCATGCCAGTAGCTTTTGCTATGTTGGGTGTGTCCACCACCCGCTCACGGATGAAGAGGACTCTGGTTTTGGGGGTTAGAGTTCCAGCAGTGCTGGTGCCATGGTTCATGCTCTGTGTAGCATGGTTTATCCCTCACTCTTCTCTCTTGAGTAACCTGTGTGGGCTCCTAGCTGGGGAAGCCTGTATCCTTCCCGAGTGCGAAGCCCTGAACAAGGGTGGGATCGCTGGTTCATGAGGGGGGAGGTCATGCTGCTCTGCCGTAAGCTCTCACTGGCTTTCCCGATCCTCGTCACACCCAGTTCTGCATTTGTTTTTCACCTTGCACTTCTACTTCCCCTGTGGCTTCAGTGCACATGGGGAACACGTAGCTGAGAAGGGCGAGGGTCTGTGAAGGTGGTGCGGGGTAGAACCGGGAGAATTCTCCGGGGAAGGTGGTTTGTGGCCGGCAGGGGATTTTGTGTGGCTGTGTTCGAAATGAGTGCGTTTTGCCTGCAGTCCTCCTTAACCTGCTGCTGACCTCAGATGGGCTCGGCTACTGTTTCTGCTTGGATTTTCCGGAGTCGGTGGGCTCTAAGCTGGACCAAGTGTTCCCTTTCAGTCTGCTGAAGAGGATACCAGGGCTGAAGTATATCCCAGGGTCCTTAGCAGAGAGAAGAGCCTTTGACAGCAGCAAGTAAGTACAGGAGTTCCTGTGAAAGTTCTTATGACGTAGGGGAATTTGGAGGCCTAAGTTACATCACCTTTAAAAGCTGTATTGTGCTTGTCATGTTCGTTTCCTGGATGTTGAGGGGAACATACCGACCCATTGATGTTGCACTAGTGACATTACTGTGACTAAGACGTTATCACACATTAACTCAAGCAGGTCTTGCAGTGAAAGCTAAATTGAGGTGAAAGACCTCTCATTTGCTGCAAGGGCAGTGTCTACACATGCGAAGATATTGCAGCTCGGCTGACATGAAAGCTAAGTCATGTAGTTCTGCCCTAATATTAGGACTTCTGGCATTTGTTCCTGGCTGCATTGCTACCTGGGGCGTGATCTTTATCTTTCTTTGCCCCACCTTTCCTCCCAGGAATGCTGTGAAGTCACGTCCAAAATCTATGTAGGAGCGAAGCATCGCAATTTAAAGAGGTTGCTTACGAAGTTGAGCGTAGACCTCTCAATGTCTGTTTTCAGTGTCAAGGCAAGATTGCTTTACTAAAAAGAAGCCTTGGGGCCTGTGGCTGACATTCAGGAATGGTTTCAATTTTGTGTCCATTACAAGCCATGAGAATTTACTGTATTCTAAAAAGCTTGGAAATCTAGGTAAATTTTTTCCCCTGTTCTAAGATGTCATTTCAGTTTCCCAGAGGAAGGATGGTTTTCTATGACGGGTTAAATTCTATGTATTGTTTAAGCCACTAGCTCACTGTAAAATGTCCTCTGATCCATCAGGGCACTCAAACGTGTGAGTGCTTGCAGGAGAGGCCAGGCAGATCCAGCAGCATTTGTGTTTTTACTCTCTCTTCTATGCAAGTGCAGCTTTTGGGAGGAGGGACCATCTCACTGCGTGCTGAGCCTGTGTCAGCATCAGTCTAATGCTTCTGCTAATAACTGTTGTGCTCAGCGTCTCAGCTCTGTGTCTGAACCTGCTTTCTTTAGGTGAGATGACGTAAATAGACTGTTCTGGCTCAAAGGTATTTATAAAAACATTTGACGATCAAGCAGGGCGTGGGAAGGTGTTTCTAGGATGTTTCCATTTCTGCAGCTAAATTTGCATGTCTGTGTCTTAGACACAAGTTCTACATGTGCTTCTGGGGCTGAATTTTTGCTATTTTGATTCTTATTCCCAGGTAAGAGCTCTTGATGGTTTGGGGTTTGTTTTTTTTCAAAATTTTCTGAGGACTTCAGGCATCAGCTTGCCACCAGATAGGAGACATTTCTAGGACATCCAGGCTTTAACGTCATGTTTGTGTCCACAAATACAAAAAAAACCAAAACCCAAAATCAAACCCACACCTCAAATTAAAAAAAAAAAAAAATCCAAGCCCGAACACCCCATCATGAGCCAGTCTCTTATTCTTGCTGGGAATCTGGCAGACATGGTCTTCATGAATATCATCTTGATTCTCATCACTCATCTTCGTGTTGCGCGTGGGCTGAGCAGTACTCCTGAAGTCCCAGAGGCTTTGGCTTCTAGGCAGATTGCCTCTCTCTTCATACGTTTTGGCAGGATGAGTCATGCCTTCTGTTGGCAAAGGCTGTTTCTAGACCTTGCTTCTGAATGATTAATTTTACTTGTAACTCTCCTTTTCGCTCTGTACCCTGGGCTCTTACTTGCACCAAAGGCCTTTACGGCTTCTTGATAAATAACACTTGGCAGCTGTGACTTCTCCTGATTAATAACTTAGCAGATGTGTTGTTCGGTGGAAGGCAGGGAGGATGCATACAGAAATCTTAAAGCACATTGCAGTTTGGCTTGTGTATTCTTTGCACAAAGAGACTCGGGGCCAAGAACTATGCTCATTCAGTGGGTGTGGAATTGGTGTGAGTTGGGACTGGGAACATCTGTCCTGGGAGGTCAGTAAACCTGTTTTTACTCAAGTGCTGCTTGTAAGAAGAGCTGCGTTTGTTGTAGTGAATCTCTCTGATGGATTGCAGTGACCTTTCTGAGCACTGGTCAGGACAAAATCTGCCCCCAGGGCACTTCACGGCTAATTAGGCAATGCCAGTTCTGAACACAGTGTAACCTTCTGTTTTCTTCCTGCCCAGGACTAACCCTGCACCAGGCACCTACCCGACCCAAAGCTACTACTGCTCTTCGCCTCCGGCTCTTCCTGCTTTCCAGATGCAACACCCCAGTGCTCAGTGCCAAGGGTTTCAACACAGCTGTGCTCTGGGATGTGGCCATGCTCAGGGACACGAGGGATCTCAGCACGGCCATGCTGCAGGACACAGCCTCCCTTCTTCCCCCTGCCAAGCCAGAGGTGCCTTCGGAGAGTTTCACGTGCAGGCCCACGCTGGAGCCTCGTCTGGACAGTGCTGCCAGCTCGGCAAGCTCTCCCCCCTGCAGCGCGTGTGCCCGACTGACCCACAGACATCTGTAGGTGTGGGGCCCCTGGCTGGGGTTCAGCCAGCACCAGGGTATCCAGAAGCCACAGTGGCTCCTGTTTCAGCTGAATTTTCCAGAGTCCAGGTGTACTGATCCTCCAGAAAGCAGCAGGACTCTCATACTGTGACAGGACCATTGCGTGATGCTCACACAGCAGTGCATTGCTGGCATCTTTGCTGTATCTGGGGTGAGTAGTGGAATGGGTTGGTAGCTCCAGTGTAGGACATTCCCCTGCTGCCTGGCACAGGCTATTTTAATTATATTTCCTTTATATATATATTTTTTTTTTACTTTTTGATATTGCTGGGGGATGGGGACTGTATCACCTCTGTGCACTTTTCATCCTTTCGGAGTCTTTTTTCGTTGCTCTGTTTAGCAGCTGCCTTTTCCGCACTGCCACTAGAGTTCCCATGCATCAGCTCCCCATCCTCAGGCTGGGAACCGAACTGTCAAAACATTGGACTAATCTGAGGTTTAACCTGGCTGCAGCAATAACAACATGTCCCATCTACACTGAGGCTCTTATCTGTAAACAAGATAGGATGTTGTCATGTAGCTAGGACCCAAAAGAGGTTGAAATCATGGAAGCCTTCGTTTATAACTCAATGTATGAGTGGAGGAGGACAGATGTCTGTTCTACTAGTGACTTGTCTGCCAAGAGTGTTCCTTGAAGCGGGCTTGTTAAACCAGGGCTGGAGCAAGAGGGCAGAATACAGAACACCCTCTTGTGCCCCTCAAAACACAGCTCTAAAATGCTGAAGGTCCTTTTTAGCTGCAGTCTGTGCATGTGTCGACATGTTGCCTTCAGTTTCTGATAGCACTGCACTAGCTCAGCCTGTGTTGCCAGCGTTTGTCGATGAGGCAACCTCGGATGCATGCAAAGAAATGGAAGACTCTTCAATAAGGGATTTTGGGTGTTTGTGGAGAAAATGTATAGAAATCCAAGGAGCTGGTGCCTGTGGCAGTAACGAAGGAGTCTGGTCGAGTTGGTGGGACTGGAGTTTTATTTCCAGCTGTGTAGCTGCTTTACTGTGGCATGCCCAGGAGGAATCTGCTGTCTCTGTGTCTGTAAATCAGCCAGGATCTCAGCTACTACGCTTGACTAGTAGGGACCACGAAGATGATCAGAGGGCTGGAGCACCTCTCCTACAAGGACAGGCTGAGGGAGTTGGGGCTGTGCAGCCTGGAGAAGAGAAGGCTCCGGGGTGACCTTGTAGCAGCCTTCCAGTACCTGAAGGGGCCGACAGGAAGGATGGAGAGGGACTTTTCACAAGGGTGTGTAGTGATAGGACAAGGGGGAACAGCTGTAAACTAAAAGAGGGCAGATTTAGATTAGATATTAGGAAGAAATTCTTCACCATGAGGGTGGTGAGGCCCTGGCCCAGGTTGCCCAGAGAAGCTGTGGATGTCCCCTCCCTGGCAGTGCTCAAGGCCAGATTGGATGGAGCTCTGAGCAACCGGGGCTGGTGGAAGATGTCCCTGCTCATGGCATGGGGGTTGGAACCAGACGATCTTTAAGGTCCCTTCCAACCCTTATGATTCTATGACTCTTTGCTTAGACTTTTGTTGTTCTCCGAAAAAAAAGACATGCTACATGAAGCACAAAGTGCCATTACTGCTCTTGGAGATGTTCCTGCAGTGCCTAACCTGTCCTGCAGAGACCACGACAGCCTCGGAGTCCTGCCATGCTGTCGGTCAGCTGGAGTTATAGGCAGCACTGGCAGCTGCCTGCTCCAAAGCACGTGTGTGCCTCTTTCTTTTTTCTCCTCTTCAGCATCTGAAGAAGCCCAGTGTTGCCGTACGGCCGCTTACTTCCCCAGCAGCCCTTCTGGGATGACTGCCGCAGTGATGCGTGGCCTCGCGGGGGTTTGCTTTGGGGGGAGACCAAAGCAAGCGCTGAGGACCTAGACCTCAGATGCACATCAGTGAGGAGCTCTGCTCACAAAGGTGGGCGCCCGTGGGCAGGAGCTTTCTGCAGGAGGATGCAGCAGTTTGGGAACCAGCCTGGAGTTGGTGGCCAGCTCCATCTCACCCCTGGGTGTTTCACTCCTCTGTGGGATCACAAATGGACTTGGCTTCATGGTCCTGTT